GTCGTGGGGGCCGCCGGTGGTGGACCTTGTTGTAAAGGTCTGTGTTTTGTTGCGTGCGCCGGCCAACGCGCCGGTCGTGCACGGCGACAAGGAGAAACCAGAGCTCACCCGGCAGTACAACGAGGGGTACAAGACTGACCTCGCAGAACCCCACGCTGGCCCGGGAGGATGCGATGAGGTGAATGAAGTCAAGCTCTGGACGCCCCTCCTCAAGACCTCCTCGCCGGGCGTTGGCAACGCCTCGAGTGGCGGCACGCCCGCCTCCGTTGTGGCCACTCCTACGCCTTTGGTAACACCGAAGAGAAGGCCCGCCGCCTAAACATGGGCTGCAAGGCGCGCGGGCAGCCCGGCCAACCCTTCTCCCACAAGACCGGCCACGGCTACGTCAAGGCGCATCGCGGTTTCTACCACGACGCGATCTTTGTCAAGCGCAACAACTTCAACCTGCTGCTCCACGAGACGTTCGGCGGCGGCTTCTCGCCCACCGCCGTTCTCAAGCTGCGCCGCCTCGCGCGCAAAGTCGCGCGCGGCAGCGTCGACCGCACGGCCTACTCGCCCAAGTACTCGCTCTCTTTTATGTCCCACCATGCAGAGCGCATCTCTCTCTCTGTTGTGCGAGGCGTGAACCGCGCCATTCGCTCTCACCTGGCAACCCTGTCTGCACGTCTCGCGCGCGCGTGAACAGGGCTCCAGGCCCCAAATGACGTGTGAGTGTTAGAGTTGTTTGGTTTTGCGTGCGTGGACCTCCAACCTAGAAGATGTGTAAGAAGGGTGCGTGCGTGTGCGTGCGTGGACCTCCAGCCTAGAAGATGTGTAAGAAGGGTGCGTGCGTGTGCGTGCGTGGACCTCCAGCCTAGAAGATGTGTATGAAAAAAAAGCTCCTTTACCTCTCTGTCACAGCAGACAGCTCCAAAGGTTCGGGAACTACACTGAAAGAAAGAAAAAATATACTCGCGCCAAAGAGGACGAAGTATCGAACTATAATCAGACCGACAGCAAGCAGCCGTCTGGCAAGCCCGTGCTAGAGCCCAGCTTCTCAGACCTACCTTCGGTTCCGACGACGACTGTACCGACGTCTACTGCCGAAATGACGATGCTGTTTCCTGACGCGCCAACTTCTCCGATACGCAGAGACTTCTCACCACCACACTTCCCAAGCGTCCCGGTAAACACTGCGGATTGTGAAGTTCCGGCCTTCCCAGCGGCTCCTTCGACGCCGGTGTTAGTAGCCAGCACATAGTCCACGTGACGGCTGCAGGTGTAAGGCATGAGGGGGTGTGCCGGGCGCGCGGCTCGGCGTCTCACACGCGCGCAATTCACTGAGGGAGGAGACCGGGGAGACATTTTTCGATTTTACGATTTCACACCACACACGTGCTCTCGGACCGTAACTCATCACAAATCAATTATAAAAAACTGCGCATCAACCGCGCGCCACAGACAGCCTCGACACCCCGGGACCGGGTGCGGTTTGCGTGGCGCGCGCCTCAATCGTCGTCGCCAAAGACAATCTTCGTGGCCGCCTTCATCGGCTGGCCCTCCTTTGGCCCAAAGGCGCCGTATAGCTTGTGCTCCTTCTTCTTTACCGTCGAGCCGAACTTGGTGAGGGCGTCGGGCACCGGCTGTGACGCCTCGCGCAAGATGTTTTGCAGCGCGCCGGCGTGCGCCTTGTCAAAGGAGGTGAAGA